TGCCCAATTCATATGTTGAAGCTCTAACCCCCAGTGTGATGGTCTTTGGAGGTGGAGCCTTTGAGAGGTGATGAGGTTTAGACGAGGTCATGAGGGTGGGGTCCTCATGATGGGATTAGCGCCCTTGTAAGAAGAGACCAGAGAGCTAGCTCTCTGCCACGTGAGGACACAGACAGAAGGCATCCATCTGCAAGCCAGGAAGCAGGCTTTCACCAGGAACTGAATCTGCCGGCACCTTGATCTTGGACTTCCAGTTTCCAGAACCGTGAGATATAAATGTTTGTTTAAGCCACTCGGTCTATCGTATTTTGTTATGGCAGCCTGAGCTAGGATAACCCCCTTACCTGCCCCTTGCCAAATCTGTGGGGTTCAGATAAAGGACATCCCCTGGCCGGTGGGTGGGAAGCCGGGCTCATGTGTCCAACCTCAGACGAGATCCGGACAGCAGAAGGCATGGGTCTCAGGAGCCGCGGCCATCCTGAGCCTCATTTCCAACACCTACTAAAGGCAGATAATTAATATTTACCTTGAAGTGTTGTTGGCAATTACATGAACTAATATAAGTCCTGCACAGAGGTCTTCAATCAGTGCGGGCTGTTATTATTAAGACTAGAGGGAAAAGGCGGGCCCGCGGGCGAGGTGACGAGCTGGCGCAGTGGGGAGGGAGGCCTGCTCTGGGTGCTGTCACCCACCCGGGCCTGATTGGACAGGCTGCCTGTGGATTACTGCGAGAGACAATGAAAGCAAACACAGACAGGAAAGGTTCCCAGCCCAGCGCCTGGCCTGGAGCGGGTGGGGAAAGGATGCTGTTTGGATCAGAACCTCTCTGAATGGCCCCACGTTGGGAGTGTGGTTTAAGGCAGAGCCGCCCAGCTGGGTTCCAGGTGTGCTGGAAGAGTGAGCCATCCCCCCACCTCTGGGCACCTGGGCAGGGCCTGGTGCAGTGGGAGCCTCTGGGGTTGTCACACGGCTGTCCTCTCCCTCCCCCAGCCCAGGGAGCAGTACTCATAGTTTCCTCTTTTCTGTGTGCCATGCTGTGAATAAAATCTGGGTGTACTGGGATGACAGATGCTGCTGGTGAAGGAGGTGAGCATGACTGGGACAAAGGACCCTCTTATTCTCAGGATCCAGAATCTCTCCACACCTTCCTCTGCCAGTGCCCAGGACAGAGCTGGCACAAAACAGGACAGGGCCACCTCTGGCATCAAGGCTGCCATTTTTAGGCTCTGACAAAGCTGCGAGTGTGCTGGGGGCAGCTTCATCTATGAGTGACATGGGGGACACGTGCGGGGCGGGTGCTGCTGAGGCCGAGCTTTGCCAGGACCATTTATTCTGGGCCCAGAGCCCTCCTGATGGCAGCACAGTGACTGGGTCTCTTGTGGACCCTGGCCTCCTGCAGCCCCAGTGAAGGCTCCGGAGCTAACAGTGGGCGCAGGGGCCTTGGCACGCTGTCACGAGCTGCTGCCCTCTGGGCCCAGAGTCTCCCCTTCTCCCAGGTGTTTTCACGAGGCCTTCTGTCCTAGCACATAGCGCATGCTCCACAATGCTGTTTACATTCTACACTTTGCCCAGTTGCAAAATGCATCAGAGACCGAATAAAGGTTGGCTGGTGATACCTTTGACCAAAAAGTCCACAAAGATTTATTACTCCTTTCCTATGTCCTCAGCCTTGGGCTAAGCGTCTCCAAAGATACAAAGAAAGAAGGAGTGGGGGTCTCGGGAAGGGAGGGAGCAGATGGTTGATTGTGGTGGGGACAGGCTAGTCCAGAACATGGTGGAAGAAGAGAGACCGAGAGACAGAAACACGGAGGGTAGGGGAGGGGAGGGGAGGGGAGGGAGTGTGTTATGCAATTTGTGTATCAGTTGTACATCCTCATTTCTAAATGCCTTCATGCTGCCGCCAGCCCAACCTCAGAGCTGGGTTCCACCAGGCAGTCAAGTACCTGGCTTCTATTTTTAATGGCAACCCAGAAGCTGTTTGGGAAAGGACAGGATGACACGGTGGGAAGAGCTTTGTAGTGAGACAAAGGCTCAAATCTGGCCCTGCAGCCTCCTACCCGGGTGCCTCTGGGCAAGTCCCTTACCCTCTCTGAGCCTCTGTTCCCTGTCTGCAGATGGAGGTGATGGCAGTGCCCCCTCAAGGCTGTTGTGAGTATGCCATGCGGTAACATGCACAAGGCTCTGTGCACTTGAGCATTTTGACACTTGTCCAATAGAAGGGCAGAGCGGGGAGACCCGGCTTTGGGGGGCAGAACGAGGCTGGGGCGACGTCAGCCCTGGTGAGGCTGGGAGAAGCAGTCTTCTGCACACAGTCCTGCCAGTCTGTGCGGACACCTTAAGTCCACAGAGGGCTGGGCTCTCCTGGCCGGGCAACATCATTTATGGGAAACAACCAGGAAACTGAATCTGCTATTTGCCAGTTGCCAGCAAACCCTTCAGAGTCCCCCCCATCACAACCAGTGCTTTATTAGCCGCCTGCTGCAGTATTTCTTCCGTTTCAGCTCAGAGGTTTGATCTTTTCTTTTTTTTCATGTAATGCTTTGGGGCACTTTGCTAGAGAACAGGTGGAAATAATGCATTTTACACACAAAAGCCAACAGTGAGGTGACCATGCCCCCAGGGAGCGGCCTGGGGTTAATGTGCTGTCTGGGTCTCAGGTGGAGGCATCATAGATGTCAGATAGTTGTCGACTCTGCGATGTGCTTTTATGAGATAAGCTGGCAGTTTCCACCCAGGTTGAGGGACTGTCACGATGATTCTAGCCACAGCAAGGAATCCTGAACCAGCTCTCCCAGCCCTGAGTTGGTCTGAGGATCTTCCGGCCCTTGGATATGGCTTGGTTTGGCCCTCAGGACCCCTGAGCTCTGGGGGATGACAGAGGCAGCCTAGTTTTTTCAGTGAAGTCCCCCAGATGGCAATTCCCCACCCTCCCTCTGCCAGCGGAGCCAGCTGCCCAGATAAGCTTGGGGCTCTCTTGATGAACACCGAGTGCAAGCGGCTAGAGGCAGCTGGCAAGATGCTAAGTGCAGCATCAATCCTAATTAGGATGAGGAATTAATAAAGGAGGCATTCGAGCCACTCTGCAGAGGCCAGGCTTGCCGGCATGGAGGAGTTAGTTCCAATTTCCACTGGGAAACTGGAAGGCCCTGGCTCCACGGGTGCCTCTGGGTGGTGACCATGGCATGATCTACTGTGCCCCGCGGACAGCACCCAGTGGGGCCTGTGAGGTAGAACAGGGGGCGCCGCAGCCCCTGCTCCACGTCTAACTCAGGTGCCATGGCAGGTAGTGACGTGGGCACATTATCCAGATGAGAGGAGTAGGTGTTCGTGATCTGAGCAATTGCAGACAAAAATGATGTTTTTCAAAAGAAAAGAGGAGGGTGTGATCGTGGGCCCGCTGATCTTTTGTGTGGCTGTTTCCCAAACTATTGACTGCACATTCCTGCTCCTCGAAGACTCCACTTAGCCCTGGCATTCAGCTCCAAACTGCAAAGGGCAAAGCAGCCTCATTTGGGAGAGCATGTAGGGGGGCAGAGGGGGGCAGGATTCCAGATGAGAACGGGCATCTTCCCCCACCTAGGGAAAAGGGAAAGGGGGCAAGTTCGACCTCACCAAGCCGACCCAGTTTACAAAGCCTCTTTTTAGATGACTCCAAATGCGGCCAGAAAAGGGCCATCTTTTTAAGAGCTCCCTACCAACCTCCACCGAGATCCGACCACGCTGAACTATTTGCAGGGGCTGTAACTGCGGTAAGGAAGGCTAGGTGTGTGGGAGAACTTCCTGAACAACTGAGCGGCGGAGTTCACACGAGAAAAGGCTACAGAAAAAGAAAGAGCAAACTCTGTCCAAGGATTTTTGAAAGGAAGGCTCCGCCAACTCCCTCCATCCTGTCTCTAATCTGAAAGCTAAGACCAAGAGGAAGACCTGTCCACAACTGGGCTGGGACCAGACGGCCCCTCTACGGCCACCTGTTAGTTCAAGCTCCGCAGCGGGGCGGGCAAGAGGCGCATTTCGCCATTCGCGGCGTCCGGGCCCCTCCCCCGGAGACAGCGGTCCCCACAGGCCCAGGGCACCCAATCCCGGCCCCTAGAGGTATTCCAACCTTGCAACCCCTACCACTCGGCCTCCTTGAGTAACCGGGGGTCGCAGCGCCCCGCCCCGAGGGGGCGGCCACGCCCCCTTTCAGGCCTTTCTAGATCCGCGGGTCGCCCCTGCGCCCCTAGTTCCCTGCCCAGGTCTCCCGCAGCCTCCCCGGTGGGGGACCACGACGCAGGGCGCGCTGCCCCAGTCGGGGACGAGGGGAGACTCAGTGTCGCTCCCCTCCCCACCCAGCAGGGAGGAGCGGGCCGGTGGTCCCGTGGAGGAGTAGGCGCCGGACCAGGGTCTCGTGGCGTCAGGCTTGGGCCAGACCCGCTCGGAACCCAGGCCCCACCGCACCCCCCCTTTGGCCCGGGCCTGGAGCTCGAGCGGAGCGGCCCCGGCACTCCCCGCCCCCGGCCGGCCCCGCCCCAGGATGGCCAGTTCCCATAGCAATCGCACAGACACCGGTTGCCAAGCAACCTCTCCCCCTCCTGCCTCCCCTCCTCTGCCGTCCGCTCCCCCCAACCCCAGCCTCCTCCCGCCCCCTTGCCAGCCTCCACCTCCCCCGGGGGCGCCGGCGCGCCCCTCGGGATCGCTCCGGTCTCCGGCTGCGCGCGCGCGCGCGTGTGAGTTTCGGTGTGTTTCATTGTGTCTGTGTGCGAGGGGGTGTGCGCGTGCGAGTGGAGAGTTTGTGGGATCGGTGTGTTGGGGGGCCCCTAGCCGGGAGGGACCCCGAGCTGGTGCACAGCTGGTTGCAAGAGGACCCGCCCGCCGGCTCTGGCTCCTTTGTGTCTCGCGCGGAGCCAGCGCCGCGCCCACCCCCTTTCCGGCCGGCGCCCGGGCGCGGTGTTTGTGCGTGCGTGTGTGTGTGTGTGTGTGTGTGGTGTGTCGGGGTTGGGGGGTGCCGGGGCCGGCCGTACCTTCGATGCAGCATACCCGCCACAGCCCGGAGTGGGTGAGGTCGCCGCGGGCGCGGCGGGGTGGGGGCCCGTCGTCCATGGTCAGGTTGGTGCCGTTGCAGATGTGCGCGCTGGAGTAGAGCCAGTAGTCGGTACCGATGGCGATGGCCATGAGCGAGAAGGCGGCGAAGGCTCCGGCCGTGGTCAGCAGCATCTGCAGCCCGCGGTCGCATCGCACCATGGTGGGCGCCTCA